TGTTCAAGATAGATATTGGTCTATAGTTGTTTTTTTAAAAACATCTTTGACTTGTTTGCTATTAGGATGATGCTGACTTCATAGAATAAGTATTCCTTCCAGAGAGGACTGTAATATTGATTACACCCAAAGAAGGCTGTAAAGAGTTACCCCTACAATTGGCTTGTTTATAGAGTGAGTCTGGCTGAAGCCTCTGTGCTGAGGTCAGAGTAACTTGCACCCAAATTCCATTCCCACAACTAAAATCTTCTGACTAGAAGGACAATGTTCTAATTACAACCATATGTTTTATCTATTTTGTTCCTAATTTGAGAATGCTTTGTCTTGTCCTTTATAAGCCTTGTTTACATTAATTTCCATAGAAATTGTACATAGCTTGCCTTTACCCCAATTGATTGCCAATAAAAGTGCCTAGGACTGGCCAGAGCCTTTGCAGTTGCATTGGCTTTGGTCATTCTGTCACCCCACTTTCTCTCTCTTAGTATATTTATTTCTCAGGTCTCATCGTATACTGGGCAGGGTACTAGAACCTAACTTCAGGGGTCTCCAATAATTGCACCCACTTCTGTCTTCTGAAAGAGATTGTAAAGAATTGGTATAAGTTCTTCCTCAACTATTTTGTAGAACGTACCAATGAGTCCATCTGAGCCTGGTGCTTTCCATTTGGGAATGCTATTAATTATTACTTCAATTTCTATTATAGATATAGGCCTATTAAATTGTCTGTTTCTTCTTGTTTGAGTTTTGGCTGATTATATCTTTTAAGGAAATGTTCCATTTCATCCAGGCTATCAAATTTAATTGACATAATTACTCATGTTGTTTTTTGTCTTTTTATCCTTTTAAAACTATAGGATCTGTAGTGATAGCCTCTTTTTTGTTTCTGATATTAGTAAATTATACTCTCTCTCTCTCTTTTTCTTAATTATACTGGCTACAAGCTGATAAAATTTGTTGATCTTTTTTATCTTTTCAAAGAACTAGCTTTTAGAATAAATGATTTTATCTATTGATTTCTTGATTTCTGCTTTAATGTTTATTATTATTTCTTTTCTTATGCTTGCTTTAGATTTTATTTGTTCTTCTTTTCCTAGTTTCTTGGGGGTGAAAGCATAGTTATTGATTTTAGATTTTTATTCTTTTCTAATATAGCTATTCAACAGTAGAATAGCTCTACTAGTAAGCACCATTTTGCTACTTTCCACAAATTTTGATAAATTGTATTTTAATTTTTATTTAGTTAAAATATTTTAAATTTATTTTGATGCTTCTTTGACTACTGTTTTACTTAGAAGTGTGTTCTTTAACCTCCACACACTTTGCAGATTTCTCATAGCTTCTAATTGACTTTTAGTTCAATTCTTTTGTGGTCCTGAGGCAGACATTGAATGATTTTCTAAATTTTGCAAATGTGTGTATTTTATGGCCTCAAAACTGGTATCCTGGTGATCTTGAGAGGAATATATATTCTGCCATTGTTGTATGAAGTAGTCTATAGATGTCCATCACATCCAGTTACTTGATGGTGTTATTGAGTTCAATTATATCCTTACTGATTTTTCTGTATGCTAGATTGGTCCATTTCTAGTAGAAGATTGATAAATTTTTCAACTATGATAGCAGAGGAGATTTACCTCTTTGTAATTCTATCAGTTTTTTCTCATGTTTTCATATCCTGTTGTGAGATGCATACATTTTAAGGAGCACTGTGTCTTCTTGGAAAATTGGCTGCTTTATCATTATATAAGGTCTTCCTCTTTCCCTGCTAGCTTTCCTTGCTTTGAAGACTGCTGTGTCTGAAATTAAGATAGCTACTACTAAAAAAAAAAAAAAGACAGCTAATACTCTTTTCTTTTTCCTAATGTTATCATGACATAACTTTCTTAATCCATTTACAGTGGAACTTCAGTTTTTGAGCTTAATTTGTTTTATAATTTTGGAGAAGTGGCTGCATTTGTGTTTGTGAAGATGGCCATGATCATGTTTATCACCTGATGTGGAGTTTGAAAATGGAACCAAATTTTGCTAAACAGTTTTGTTTGTGAACCAAGTTATTTGCAAATTGAAGCGTTTGGAAACCAAGGTATTACAGTACTTTATATTTCATTTTACTTAAAGTTGGTTTCTTGTAGAAGTGGGTAATATTTTTTGCTCCACTCTGAAAGTCTCTGAATTGTAATGGGTGTATTTAGGCCACTATCATTCAAACCAATGCAATATACCTGGATTAATACAACTGACTTTACATATACATAACTGTATATAATTGAATATATTGTTGCTATTATTTAGAATAAATCATTATTTAATTAAAACAAAAGTCTTGATTTCACCTTTATTTTCTCCTTCTCTGATGCTCTTCTTTCCTTTGTATAGAAGTAAATCTTTATGTTGAGTTTCTGAATTATTTCCTCTTTCAAGATCTCTTCTAACATTTCTTACAAGGTAGATCTACTGGCAATAAAGTCTCTATAAATTTTTGTTTATCTGGGAATGTTTATTTCTTTTTCACTTTTGAAGGTTGATTTCACAGGATACAGACTTATAGGTTGATTTTTGTCCCAAAAAGTACAGGAGTGTTTTATTCCACTTTCTTTTGGATTGTATGTTTTCTGAGGAAATCAGATGTCATTTTTTTCTTTGCTATTCTGTAGGTAAAGTTTTTTTCCTTGTCTTTGTCTAGGATTTCTATCTTTGATATTTTTGTAGTTGAAAATGATGTGCCTATGCATAGAAGGTTGCTGCTTTTTGTTTGTTCATTTTGTTTTGACATTTATGCTGCTTGGTGTTCTCTAAGTTTCCTGGATCTGTGGGTCCCATTATGTCTGTGTTATACTTTTTGTAGCTATTCCACAATTTTTGAATAATCTTTTCAGTCTGTGGTTGTTGTTGTTGTTGTTGCTCTTTTAAATTTTGCAGCTTTCTACTGATACATAGCTGTCCTTTGGTATTCAGAGTCAACCCCATTGATACCAAAGTCTGCAGATGTACAATGTTTGCATATAATTTATGCACATCCTCCTGTATACTTTAAATCCTCTCTAGACTGATAATATCTAATAGAGTGTAAACACTGTGTAAATGTTTGTCATACTGTATTGCTTAGGGAATGACAAGGCAAACAGTCTGTACATGGTCAGTACAGATAGTTTTTCCCAGTAGTGTAAATTCACAGTTGGGTGAATCCACAGATACAGAATTGGTTGATACGGAGGGCTGACTATATCTTCAAGTTCAGAAATTCTTTCTTCAGCCATGTCTAATCTGCTGATGAGCCCATCAAAGGCATTCATTTATAGTTACAGTGTTTTGATATCTTTTTTTTATATATATATACTGGGGATTGAACTCCCGTCCTTGTGCTTATGAGGCAGGCGGTGGAACCACTGAGCTAAATCCCCGGCTATAGTTACATTTATTTGGAACCCTAGTGGTTCTTTTTTCTTCTTACATTTCCATCTCTCTGCTTGCATTAGCCATCTTTTTGGCACATTGTCTACTTTATTATTGGAATCTGTAGCATAGTAATTATAGTTGTTTTGAATTTCCCAAAAATTTCATTACCCCTGCCATGTTTGGTTCTGATACAATACTTGTCTGTCTCTTCTAATTGTGTTTTTTTCCTTTTGATATAACTTCTAATTTTTTTTCATGATAGCCATTTGTAAGGTACTCAGCAGGGTTCCCATGGCAGTTTCTGTTCTAATGTGTTCTGATTATTTATATCTACTTGTCTATCTCCATTTAAGGGACAGTAGTTTGCCCAGAACTCCTCACTTTTCTACAGAGCTAGAGCAAGCTGTTGTGTTTTCAGTTTCTTCAGCATTTCTCTTGCCGTTAGGGTAGAGTGTTAAATTTCAAATACAGAATTCCCTTTTACTTATTCTTTGCATTGCATATAATAGAATCACATTGTATGTTTTCTTTTGAAATTTGCTTTCTTTATTCAACATTATGTGAATGAGATTCATACCTGTGGATGGATGTGACTACCGTTCCTTCTTTTTCACAGCAACATAATATTAAATATTACATTTTAACTACACCATGATTTATATATCCTTTCTCCCATTGATGGCAATTTGGGTTGAACATCACTGCTGATACACAAATGCAAGGATTTTTCTAAGGCATTAATCTAGTAGAATTATTGTTTAAAATATGTGTATATCCCACTTTAACAATAATGCCCGTTTGCCAAAAATCAATTTTTATTCCCATTAGTGAGTCATAAGAATTCTCTTTGCTCTGCATATTTTCCAACAAGGATATTACTAGACACTTCAAAAAAATTTTTGGTACTGGGGATCAAACTCAGGACCTTGTGCTTGTGAGGCAACTGGCAGAAAAAATGAAGTAAATCCCCGGCCCACTAGACAGTTTTTAAATAGTATCCACTTGGGTCAGTGTGAGTAATAAATGACAGCTCCTTGTTTGAAATTAGCATTTCCTGTGTACTGAGGTTGACCATCTTTCCAAATGCTTATTGGTTAATGTTATCTCCTCTGTAAATTCTTTTTTGATGTCATTGTTCATTAAAAGATTGAATTATTTGTCTTTTATTTATTGATTGATTTGTAGGAGACTATACATTCTATATACTATTCCTTCATAAGTAAAAAAGTGAAAGATTTATATGATCTGAGGAGAAACCAGGGTATCCTTTGATGATACAACACTTCTATTTTTCCAATTTGTGGCACATCTTTTAGTTTCTTTGTAGCATATCTTGATAGAGAAAATTTATAATGTTAATCTAATCAAATATGTTGCTCTTTGTTTTGATTGTGGAATCTTTCTTTTTGCTGAGGTCATATGGATATTCTTCTGTGGAATGGATGTTTAATCATTATTATGATAGGCCTCTTGTCATTTTTTTTTTTTTTTGTACCGGGGATTGAACTCAGGTCCTTGTGCTTGCAAGGCAGGCCACTAAATCACTGAGCTAAATTCCCGGCCCTTCTTGTCACGTTTTTAATTATACAAAATAAAACTCACAGAATTTACAAATAAAACAAATCATGCAAAGACTCTGTAATCAACACATTACAAATTATAAAACAGTATTTATTCTCTTATAGTTCTGAAGGTCAGAAATCTAAAATCAGGCTCACATGGCTAAAGTCAAGGTATCAGCAGGACTACATTCTTTCTTGGAGGGCCCATCCAAGAATCTGCCTCTTCCATCTTGTAGAGGCTGCCAACAATCCTTGGCTTGTGGTTTATTCTTCCATCTTCAAAGCCAATAGTACAGTGTCCTCAAATCTTTCTATGCTTCTGTTATAACATTGCCTTCTTTCTATATGACAGCACTTCTCAATAATTAGGCCTACCTGGAAGTCCAGAATAATATCTTCATCTCAGTATCTTTTAACTTATTTTCATCTACATAATCTTTCTCCTGCATAAGCTTATATTCACAGATTCTAAGGATTAGAAAGTGGATATCTCTGATGTCCATTATTTAGCTTTCTATATTTAGCATGTGTTGGATTATATGTTGGTTTTACAGGTCAAAAATGGTTCATCATTGCCAATTTCATGTAGCTTCACCCAATGTTTCTTAGCATATGGAAGCTGCTATTAATACTAATATGAAAAGTGGAGATATTTTTGCCATTAACTGCCAGCTCCAGGCCTATCCCGCTGTTTTAGGAATGATGTGTTGGGGAATTTCTAGCTAACTGAATGTGTTAGCAAAGCCCCAAATTTTTAATATGTCTTGTATTATAGTACTTCCTGTGTCACTGCCTTGGAAGTAAGGCAGTTTCCCCCTCCAAGCCACTTACCTCCTTGCTGTCTTGGAAGAGGGCTGTGAAATGACTGCAGGAAAAGACTCCTTGCACAGAATAAGGAAATCCCTCTGCTCAGCTACAAGACCCCTTTGCTCCATAGCACCAATGCTCTCTTTGGGGAAGGAGCAGCTAGCTGTACAAGTCTTCCACTTTGTGAATGTATATGGCTGTGCCATCCGATGCCATACTGGAACCTGAGACCAAATCAAGAAAACAGTGATACCTATCCTGTCATTATTTAAAATTTTGATATTTTGTTCACCATGGGTTTTTTGCACCCATTTTTCTTTATAATTATATTTTACCTATAAAACAACTAGTCCAAGGATAGTAAGTTTAATCCAAGTATAGTAAATTAGATTATGGACACCAAAGATGTCTACATTTAATATCATGTTAAGCTATTATTTGATTACTGTGATCCTGATTATTATGTTTTTTGGCACTTCTTAAATTTTTCTCCTGAGACTCACCCTAGTTTCCACGCTGGTCTACATTTGTATATATTTTCTGTACTGTCACTTTGTGAAGGACACTTGTGGCAGAAGTTCAAGCTTTATCTGAGGAGAAAAACACAAAGCAGTTAGGATTTACTGAGGTAACAAGAAAGGAAAACCACCCCTAACCTCTGAAAGGCCCCTGGTCCAAATGATTCTCTTTGCTGCCGATTGCCTGCTCCAAATGAGAAAGAATAAACTAATTTTATACCTATTCAGTCCAATAAAGCTCATTGTCCTACCCCTACCTCCAGTGATAAGAGGCAGGAACAGTTCATTTTCCATTGCTAAGCAACAGCAAAAACAGCGCACAGCATGAATCCTGGCCTCATGGGCTGATAGGGATCACTGTCTAAAGTTCCTGTTTGCATTTTGAAGTCAACAATAATTGCAGTTCTCTATTAGTGTTCATTAAGATGGTTTATGTCTGGACGAACTCCAATCTCCACTCAGCGGTTTCAATGCGTTGTTCTCCTAGGGAAAGAAATATTTGGCAATAAAAACGCTGTGCTGACTTCCCCTATAGGCTGGGGAACTCTGGTCACCATCCGCACGCAGTTCCCTAGCCCGGGAGAACAAGGTTCTGTTCTGAAAGAGAGGGGTGGAGAGCAAAGTTGGGCTTCCAGCTGGCTTTCTTCCACCCTACTCGAAAAGTAGGCCAGTGGTGCATAAGTCTGTTGTGTGACTTGCGCTCTTGCTATTCCCGGGGGTGCAGAGAGCACGACCCCATTTCCCCGAGGCCAGCGGGAAGGTTTGGAAAGGGCCTCTGGCCTCGCTCCCCGCCTCAGGCCGGGGAGAGGCGCTTCCCGGGGACGTGAGGGGCTCCTGCCTGCCTGGCCCGGGAAGGGGTCAAACAGTGGCCTCAGTGTTACGGCGGCGGCCGCAGCCAGCTCCACAGAGCCG